GACTTGAAGGCTCACAACAATAACAAGCAGGGTCAGTGGGTTGTTGTAGGTTTTTTCGGGCTATATGGCCATGTTCTAGAGGCATTCTCTCCTGACGTTTCACCTGCATCTATGGCAAGCATCCTCAGAGGTAGTGTGGTCTGTTGGAACTAGGAAAATTGGTTTATATATCTGTGGAATGACCATAGGTCAGAAACTACGGTGGGACCAGGGTGGGACAAAGAACTCTTGTCTGTTGGAGCTAGGTGTGAATGTTTCAACTGACCACCTTGATTAGCATTTGATGGCCTGGCAGTTTTTTGGTGTGGCTTGTTAGTGCCTGGGGGAATCTTTTGTTGAGAGATGATTAGCTGTCCCTGATTGTTTCCTCTCTGTTGTTTTGCTGTTGTCCCACCCTGGTCATTCCACAGATATATAAACCCAATTTTCCTAGTTCCAACAGACCTCACTACCTCTGAGGATGCTTGACATAGATGCAGGCGAAATGTCTGGAGAGAATGCCTCTAGACCATGGCCATATAGCCCAAAAAAACCTACAACAACCCAGTGATTCCGGCCATGAAAGCCTTCAACAATACATTAAGCAGGATCAACATTGGTTAAGACTTGGAAAAGAGATTACTATTGAATGTCAGGTTATAATTCAGAGCAAGGAACTGGCAAACCAGGGATTCTTTCCTATAGATCATCCTATTAAATTCATTGGCTTACCACAGTTTTACAGGTGTCTTAAAGACACACACACACACACACACACACACACACACACACACACACATCTCTTTTTGGTTTTTGTGGAGTTTGGTACTCTTTTTCGCCTTCTGCAGTGATCAGCCATAGGTTTTTAAATTCTTGTGTTTATTGTCTATTTGTGAGTTATATTATTTGTATTGTTTATTTTGTTTGTTGCTTGTTATTTTATTACTGCTTGTTGTTTTTGATGTGTTGTTGGGCTTGGCATCATGGAAGCCACTCCGAGTCCCTTGGGGAGATGGTGGTGGGGTATAAATAAAGTTTTATTATTTATTATTATTTATTATTAGGGTCCCCTCTCCCCACTGGACTTAGCTGTTGTGCTGCCAACCGCCCCCCAGCCCTTTGGCTCAGTCACATCTCTTATCTCTCTCACAGCAATAGAATGGTCATGGGGAGAGGTCCGGCAGTAACTACATGGTAAATCTTGTGATGTACCACAGCTCACCATACAGAACTATGGTACATCTCTCTATTTTGGTACACTGTGCCATGCAGATTTTCAACCAATGAGCTACAAGTTATCTTATTTTGGAAACAGACAGTAGGGGTGTGTTGAAATTTAAAAGCAATGTAACTCGCTAGTTATTTTGCAAAACTTCTTTTAAAAGAACATTTTAACAGGAGGAAAATAAAAATCCCCAGCCAATGCAGTATGCAACCCCACCTGTTTATCTATATAAATAAAAATGCAATGTTAGTTTGTGGGATTAACATAACTCAAAAACCACTGGATGAATTAACACCAAATTTGGACACAATGCATCTATCAGGCCGATGAGTGACCATCACTCATAAAAACACTGAAAAACACAGTGGAAGGGACTTTAAAAGCCAAAAACAAAATACACTAACAAGCCACACCAAATACAAAAACAGCAAACTCTAAAATGACAACAGCAAAACAACAGAGAGGAAACAATCAGGGACAGCTAATCACCTCTCAACAAAAGATTCCCCCAGGCACTAACAAGCCAGACCAAAAAAACTTCCAGGCCATCAAATGCTAATCAAGGTGGTCAGTTGAAACATTCACATCTAGCTCCAACAGACAAGAGTTGCCGATAGGCTGAGAAAGGCGGCATACAAATACAGTAAATAAATAAATTCTTTGTCCCACCCAGGTCATTCCACAGATATATAAACCCAATTTTCCTAGTTCAAACAGACCTCACTACCTCTGAGGATGCTTGCCATAGATGCGGGTGAAATGTCAGGAGAGAATGCCTCTAGAACATGGCCATATAGCCCAAATAAACCTACAACCCAGTGATTCCGGCCATGAAAGCCTTTGACAATACATAATAAAAAATATTTTTTAAAAAGAGACTGGGAGGAAAAAAGAGAAGCCCAGAGAAGGGGGTTCTGCATTAAGAATTATACCTTGTGTCTCCTCAATAGTATGGGCATTGGGAGAGCAGAGGAGCCAATGGAGAGAAAGGGTGTCAAACAATGTCTCCTCTAAGCAGATGGTTGAGCTGGGGGAAGGTGATACTGTGTGGCATGGGTAAGTAAATTCTGTCTTCTTTGAAGACAAAATGCCATGCAAAGAAGATGATTCCACACGCAAAGAAGACAATTTCTTTTGCTTTCTCCCATTTCCCCCAGTTCTGTCTGATGAAGTCCTAAGTCACACTTTCCCCACCTTAGAGGAAGGCAGTGGTAAACCTCTCCTAAGCAAAGCTTGCCAAGAAAGCCCTGTGATAGCACTGTCTCAGGGTCACTGTAGGTTAGAAATGACTTGAAGGCACACAACAACAAGATTTAAAAACTGCACGGAACTACGGTGTACTTTGAATACCAAGCCCTAAAGATCGCTGTAAGTACCAGCACTGTGCCCCTTCTGGTGCCCCATCAACATCATCAAGAAATTTAAGATGCTGATTAGGCCACTCGCTCTTCCTGCAACATATCTTAAACGAAACCTCTAGAAACCACAGAACAATATAAATACATGAGGAAGCAGTTGTGCAATATCCCGTGGTTGAAGTTCTTCATGGGCACGCAAGAAACAGCTTGCTCAGTGCCTCTCGCAAACTCCTCTGTTTAGTTTCACATGTGACCACACAACTGTCTTTCCTGTACATTTTGGAGTTTTTGTCTTTGATTTCCTACATTCAATCTGGCACCTTCTCACAAAGGTTATTTGGTTATTTTAATGCTGCTTGTTTGGGATCAAAGGCCACTTGGCTTGGAGAGTTAAAATGTCCAACATCACACGAACCATTGCAAGTGGGGTTGATTGCCACAACTTCTCTCCCATTGCAAGCTGATTTCCCCACCAGCACACGCAAACAAACACACACCATAGTTGTGCACAGCTGGAAGAAAAAGGAGAAGTCTCCTGAGAAGTTGCTTCAGTGTGATGTGTCACATCGACACCCACATTGCACTAAGCTCTGACTTAACAGCCCATATTTCCCTGTAACTCCTACTTTTGTGGGTGAGAAACTAAGGCAGACTGTGTTCATTGAGGTTGAACATGTGCTGGCAACCAGTGCTAGACAAGAAAAAAAGTTGTAATTTTATTTGAGAACACAGAAATGCTGGACCACTCTCACAACCACCATGTCAGACTACACTGAGAAGCTATTGAAATACACAAGCATGTGGACAATTTCAACAGAAAGGAGGAAACCATGAAAATGAACAAAATCTGGCTACCAGTATTAAAAAAACCTCTAAAATTACAAGAGCACAACAGAGAGGAAACAAACAAGGACATCTAATCATCTCTCAACAAAAGTTTGCTCTAGGCAATGTCAGGCCATTATATGCTAATCAAGGTGGTCAGTTGAAACATTCACACCTAGCTCCAGCAGACAAGAGTCCTTTGTCTCACCCTGGTCATTCCACAGATATATAAACCCTTTTTTCCTAGTTCCAACAGACCTCACTACCTCTGAGGATGCTTGCCATAGATGCAGGTGAAACGTCAGGAGAAAATGCCAATACAACATGGCCATATAGCCTGAAAAAACCTACAACAACCCATTATTTGACTATCTCTAGATCAGCGTTTCTCAACCTGGGGGTCAGGACCCCTGAAGAGGTTGCGAGGGGGTGCCAGAGGGGTCACCAAAGACACAGTATTTTCTGTTGGTCATGGGGGTTCTGTTTGGGAAGTTTGGCCCAATTCTAACCTTGGTGGGGTTCAGAATGCTCTTTGATTGTAGGTGAGCTATAAATCCCAGTAACTACAACTCCCAATGTCAAGGTCTATTTTCCCCAAACTCCAGGAGAGTTCACATTTGGGCATATTGATTGTCATGCCAAATTTGGTCGATCCATTATCCAAACAGGCACATGAAATCACTCTCAACAAAAGATTCCCCCCCAGGCGCTTCCAAGCCATTGAATGCAAATCAAGGTGATCAGCTGAAACATTCACAGCTAGCCCCAGCAGACAAAAGTCCTTTGTCTCACCCTGGTCATTCCACAGATATATAAACCCATTTTTCCTAGTTCCAACACACCTCATTACCTCTGAGGATGCTTGCCATAGATGCAGGCGAAACGTCAGGAGAAAAATTGCCTCCAGAACATGGCCATATAGCCCGGAAAAACCTACAACAACCCATGGATTCCGGCCATGAAAGCCTTCGACAATACATCGATCCATTATTGTTTGAGTCCACAGTGCTCTCGGGATGTAGGTGAGCTACAACTCCAAAATTCAAGGTCAATGCCCATCAAATCCTTCCAGTATTTTCTGTTGGTCATGGGAATTCTGTGTGCCAAGTTTGATTCAATTCCATCATTGGTGGAATCCAGAATGCTCTTTGATTGTAGGTGAACTATAAATCCCAGCAACTACAACTCCCAAATGACAAAATCAGACCCCCACCAGTGTTCAAATTTGGGTGTATGGGGTATTTGTGCCAAATTTGGTCCAGTGAATGAAAATACATCTTGCATATCAGATATTTACATTATGCTTTATAACAGTAGCAAAATTACAGTTTTGAAGTTGTCATGAAAATAATTTGCTGGTTGTGGGTCACCACAACATGAGAAACTGTATTAAGGGGTCACAGCATTAGGGAAATTGAGAACCACTGCTCTAGATGTTTCTCCTTTTTATATATTTTGTATCCCATTAACTTCATTCAATAAAATGTATTAAATCTAAAAAAAAAACCTTTTTAAAAGTTTGTAAGTGGGATGTTTCTAACTCAGGGACTGCCTGCCCTCCCCTTTCCTTTCTGGCCTCCAGGGGGCGCTGTTTCGCCGCTCTGCCGCCTCACCTAAGCAGGGCGCATTGGAAGCCGCTGCTGCTACTGGTCAACACACATTTCCGGAGAGTTTTGCAAGCCTTCCTTTCTTTGCCTTGGTTGGGAGTCTCTGGCAACCGCTGCCCAGGATAAGGAGTCTCACCCACGGAGAGCAGCTTGGATCCATCATCGAAACTCTCCTGGGCCACGGGATGGACCACGCGGGAAAGTGGTGGCTGCTGGTCCCACTCGCCCTCGGTTTGGCGCCCCAGGAAGGTAAGGCAGGAGGAAAACTCTTCTCCTTGCACCTCTGGTTTGCTCTCCTTGCATCTGTTCCTTCCTGGCTGCCTCTCCTGTTGCGTTTTGGTATCACTTTCCCTTCTCTGGCTCCAGTGCTGTGAAATCCTGGGGATTTTAGTTTGGTTTGCCAGAGAAGGTGCAAGACCTTGCAAAACTGCAACTCTCAGGATCCCACAGCCCTGAGCCATGGCAGGCAAAGTGGGACCACACTGGATCAATTCTACAGTGGAGATGCACCCTGAGATGTTCAGATGGGAACTTTTCCATCCATAGTCCTGGAACTGTGTCTCCTCTCTCTTTTGTAGTGTCTCACATCCACTCCAAGCCAAATGGCAACCAAAGGCACTTGAGAGTGCATCTATACCAGGAATGGGCAAACTTTGGCCCTCCAGGTGTTTTGGACTTCAACTACCACAATTCCTGTTAGGAATTGTGGGAGTTGAAGTCTAAAAGACCTGGAGGGCCAAAGTTTGCCCATTCCTGGTATATATGCACTCCCAAGTGCCTTTGGAATTGTTAGGAATTGTGGGAGTTGAAGTCCAAAATACCTGGAGGGCCAAAGTTTGACCATGCCTGATCTGTACTGTGGATTGAATGCAGTTAGACAGCACTTTGACTGCCTTGGTTCAATGCTATGGAATCCTGGGATTTGTAGTATTGGTGTGGCACTCACACTCATTGGCATAGAAGATGGAAGAACTTGGGTGCATCTACACCTCAGCATGAAGGCAGTTTGTTGCCACTTCAACCGCCCTGTCTCAAGGCTTTGGAATCTCGGGAGTTGTAGTTTCATCGTTTTAAAAATTGTGTTGTAACCCGCCTCGAGCCGCAGGAAGAGGCAGGTAAGAAATAATAATAATTATTATTATTACAACTACTAGCCGTCCCCTGCCACGCGTTGCTGTGGCCCAGTCTGGTGAGCTGGAAAATACAGTAATGAGAAAGTGTTGGTTTCTAATATATGTAATGTCTTGATGCTTGTGGGTAAACAGTATTTCTTACTGTTTCTTTGTCAGTGTTGATGTGGAGATTGTCTGGTTCACCTACTCTGGAATATGCAACATATGATTGTCCTTCTTTAGGGGTCCCTTTCAAATCTATGATACTGTATCTGTGTGTGAGAGAGAGACTCATATATATATCTATCTATATCTATGGCTGGATGGCTCTTTGTCAGGAGGGCTTTGATTATATTTTCTTGCCCTGGTGAAGGGAGTTGGACTCAATGGCCTTAAGTATGGGAGTTCAGTGTGGGAAGTTTGTCCCAATTCTGTCATTTGTGGGGTTCAGAATGCTCTTTGATTGTAGGTGAACTATAAATCCCAGTAACCACAACTCCCAAATGTCAAGGTCTATTGCCCCCAAACTCCATCTATGTTCCTAGTTGGACATATTGAGTATTCATGCCAAGTTTGGTCCAGATCTATCATTGTTTGAGGCCACAGTGCTCTCTGGATGTAGGTGAACCACAACCCCCAAATGTAAATGCCCACCAAACCCTTCTAGTATTTTCTGTTGGTCATGGGAGTCCTGTGTGTCACATTTGGTTCAATTCTATCATTGGTGGAGTTCAGAATGATCTTTGATTGTAGGTATACTATAAATCCCAGCAACTACAACTTCCAAATGACAAAATCAATTTTTTGAGTGATGGTCACTCCTTGGGTTAGCAGGTGTCTTGTGGCCAAATTTGGCAGCAATTCGTCCAGCGGTTTTTGAGTTATGTTAATCCCACAAACGAACATTATGTTTTTATTTATATTGATTATTATAATGATAAGGTCTCGAGCCTTCACTGCCAAAGAGTGCAAGTGCCTCCCAAAACTACAAATTCCAGGATTCCATAGCACTGAGCTCTGGCAGTTCAAGTGCTGTAAGAGTTGAAGTGTTGTCTAATGTCTTTACTTGGAGCATTCTGCCTTGGAGTTCTAAATGTGGGATAGAGCCACAAAAGTGGTGTATTCATTCTAACATGTAGATCAGGCATGGGCAAACTTCATCCCTCCAGACGTTTTAGACTTCAACTCCCACAATTCCTAACAACAGCTGTAAGGAATTGTGGTAGTTGAAGTCTAAAACATCTGGAGGGCCGAAGTTTGCTCATGCCTGGTGTAGATGTACCCCATGTGAAACTACAACTCTCATGATTCCATGGCACCGAGGCCCCATCTACACTGCCATATAAAATCTAGATGATCTGCTTTGAACTGGATTATATGGCAGTGTAGATATAGGCCCCTTCTACACTGCCATATAATAATCCAGATTATCTGCTTTGAACTGGATTATCGAAGTCTATACTGCCATATAGTCTAGGTCAAAATAGATAATCTGTATTTTATATGGCAGTGTAGATGCGGCCTCAGACCCATTCTATACTGTCCTTATATCCCAGGATTTGACCTCAAGTTATCTGCTTTGAAATGGATTATATGAGTCTCCACTGCCATATAATCTGGGAAAATCAAATAATCTGGGGTCAGATCCTGGGATATAAAGACAGTGTAGAAGGGCCTCATATAACCGAGGTCAAAGCAGATAATGTGATAATCATCTGGAGAGGCCCTACTCGCGCTCCCACCTGCACCTCAAGCGCGTTTGGTGGGGACGAGAGAGAGGACCTTCTCGGTGGTGGCCCCTCGACTCTGGAACTCACTCCCTAAGGACATCAAGCATGCCCCATCTCTGGCAGTCTTCAGGAGGAGCTTGAAAACATGGTTGTTCCAGTGTGCCTTCCCAGAATAATGAACCCTTAGCATTATGTCCTCCAAAAGCACTTTATATCGATTTAGGTCTGCTTGTATGTCTCCATCAATGCCCCACCTCCTTTATCTTGTTCATGCCTAGCATTATTTTTTAAACTTCAATTGCATTTGGCCCAGCCATAGATTTTAAATGTGCACTGTACCTTGTTCAATGTTTATGCTATTTGTGTATGAGATTTATTTTAATTGCTTTGTATTGTATTTGTTACTGCTTATATTGCTTGTATTGTTGTATTGTGGGTTCGGCCTCATGTAAGCCGCACTGAGTCCCTCGGGCAGATGGTAGCAGGGTATAAATAAAGATTTATTATTATTATTATTATTATTATTATTATTATTATTATTATTATTATATGGCAGAGTATATCTAGCCTGACCCACAGCAGCTAAAGTGATGTTGAACATCAATGTAGGTTTGCCCTAGGTGGCCCCCTCCCCAAATACCTGTACAAAGGGAAGTACAGATCACATGAGACTGGTTTGAGGAAGCCCCTTTCCCCTTAGATGAGTATTTCGAGGGATATATCTTAAGTAGTACGTCACATTGCCTGCCTTTGCTGTCATTCCTGATGTGCTTGGCTGTATTTGTGTTTTGGGTAAAGCATCACACTTTTGAAGCCTTTCACAAGTATGCAAGTCCTTGACAGTTTGATCTTGTAGTTCTGCTGTTCCACGGAAATCGCTGCGTAAATATCTGGCTGGATGCAAAAGTCTGACGTCCCAAGTGGCCTCTGGGCCTTCAATCCATGCCCGGCTACCCTTAGCTGACCTTGCTTCTAGCCGCTATCTCACACTGGATGCCTCGAGGGCTTGTTTTTTTGAATATGAAAGGAAATGGTTTTGATTTTGTTTGTTTTTGTAGGTGTGGTAGCTTTGGTTCGCCAAGCAATCGCTCTTGAGCTTGCTGAAAATTAGACCTAGTGAATCATATGTTAAGGGAAAGGATCAAGAGACAGCAACAACATATGTTTGGTTTTATAAGCTCTCCTCCCTTTCGGACTTTGCCAAAATAATCGTAAAGCTTGCCGCCCCAACTGCAAGGAACTGTCCGAAACCATCTCAAAATAGCACTTAGCTAACACAGTCTGGTGGATACTGTCTAACTTTGCTGTGAGCCAATTTACATCTCTTTAAAAAGTTTGAGTACCCTTGTTGTAGACAAGGAGCTGCTGGGATGAAGCAACCAACACACAGTTCTTGATGTCATATGTTCAAAAATAAAAGCCACCTGTTATTTGGAACTATCTTCACTATCTTCACCCTGAAGTTTTTTAGTAAGTGAAACTGGCAGGTTGTTTAGTAGGTGAAAACAGAGAAATTGAGAAAAACTCACCAGTTCTTAGGAGAGGATGTAATTAGTATACTGCATTAATATTCTTGAAAGAAATAATAGAAAAGAAACCAAATTGGATAGATTTGCCTAGTAATTGACAGGAATGTATCTGGGGAGCATTAAGTCTCAGATTTTGATGATCTATATAAATAAAAATATAATGTTTGTTTGTGGGATTAACATAACTCAAAAACTACTGGATGAATTGACACCAAATTTGGACACAAGATACCTACTAACCCAAGGGGTGACTATCACTCAAAATAAGGCGATTTTGTCATTTGTGAGTTGTAGCTGCTGGGATTTATAGTTAACCTATGCACTCTGAACTCCAACAAAAACGTGGCATAACACGACTCCCATGACCAACAGAAAACATGAGAAGGGTTTGGTGAGCATTGACCTTGAGTTTGGGAGTTGTAATTCACCTACATCCAGAGAGCACTGTGGACTCAAACAATGATGGATCTCGACCAAACTTGGCACAAATATTCCATATGCCCAAATATGAACACAGATGGAGTTTGGGGGGAAATAGACTTTGACATTGTAGTTGTAGTTCTGAACCCCACCAATGCCAGAATTGGGTCAAACTTCCCACACAGAACTCCCATGACCAACAGAAAATACGTAAGGCCATCCAGTCCAACGCCCTTCACCAGGGCAAGAAAACATAATCAAAGCCCTCCAGCCATAGATACAGATAGATACGAGGGGTATTTTTAAGTAAGGTCCGTTTGAACTTTTACTTTTTTGAAATTTACTTTTTTGAAATAAACTTTTTTGTGTACTTATGTACACAACAAAAGTTTATTTCAAAAAAGTAAATTTATTTTCAGAAAGTACATACTTCACTCTATTTTTCGACATAGTTGCCA